TGACTTAATAATTTAATATTAGCTTTGAGTGCCACTTAGAATCTATCTAGTATTAAAAAGAGATGTAGCATAAATAATAAAAAGGTGATTTTTATTTTATTTTATTTTATTTATTTTTATTTTTGCAATATGCATGCATGCATAAAAGCTCTTGTACATGTAAATAAGGATTTTTTTGCATTAGACTTATGAGTTTCTACTTGATTAATAAAACTTTTAGTTATGCTTTGAAAAAAATTGAAACTACAATAAATCCAATATATTGAAGGATTACACTTTTTTAGCCACAATAAACCTAAAATAATTGAATTATAAGAAGATCTAATTATATTAAATATCATCAAGCTATTATGATAATTTTTTATTATATTTATAAAAAATAATTATTTTTTATCATCTCTAGAAGATATTCAACAACCATCTTTGACTTCTACATGCATAATTTTAATTTTCTTTAGCAAAGATATTTTATGTCTTTTAACAAATTTTTCATCGAAAAACAAGTTGATACTCTTGAATCTAGCAAAACAAAGACTTAATGATTTTTAGATCCTAAATAAAAATCTAAAACAAGAAGATGGTTCCAAAAAGAAAATATGATCTTCACTAAGTATTATACAAGATTTCAACTATACAGTCTCTATTGTAGCTAGAAAAACTTGTTTTTAAACAAATTATTTTATTTAACAACTATATTCTTTATTTTATGGTTGTGTTGTTCTTTGGACAAGTTTGAATAGTGTACTTAGATTCTCTATAGTATAAGAACAATTTTTATTGAAAATGTCAAGTCTTTTCTTGCTTAGTGAGGGATTTAAAACATATTGTGTCAATTTGCATATCTTTGACTTCTAGATATATGTATTGAGAAAATATTGGTATTACCATTAAATTATGAAAATATTTTAGGTCCACTTATATAATTCTTAGTTAAAAATTTAAAAAACAAAATTTCATATTTTATAATAAAAACAATTGTTTGACTCAATTTTTAAAGATCAAATAAATTCAATATTAATTTCTTTATCTTATATTATAATATAAAAAAATTTGGTTGATGAATGCAATATCATTCTTCTTGATATTTTAAGTAAGTTTTCAAAGTTGTGAATCATATAATATTATTGATTGATTACCTTAATGCAAATTACAAATCATATTAATTGTAATACAAATTGCATCATATTTTTTATATAGGAATCAAATCTCTACTAAATAATCCTTTAAATTATCTAATATTGAATCATATTATTTGAATTAAGATATAAACTATGATAAAGTCAAACTTGAAAGTAGTGTTTTGATAAATTTGACTTTTGATCTTGAAATTGGATAACTATGTAGTTTAAGCTTAATCACTAGTTGTACATAATTAATTAATCCTTGAAACTTTGATCTTCTGCTATCAAATTTTTTAGACAAGAAAATTGTTGGTTTTCTAATGCTTGAATAATATTCTATTGTAAGAGATATAATATGATTCAATGTAGATGTTGAAGCAATTCCAATCATCTCTATATTTTTACTTCTATCCAATTTTACAATCATGAATTGAATTAATGCATTATAAGTATTAAGTCCCTTATTTGATTTTACATTTGTGATATTGCATTGTTCTTTTTAATAAGCTTTGTCATGATAACACAACAAAAAAAGAGGATGTCTAATATTACTTAAAACAAATAGCAGATAAGACTTGAAAATATAATTTTTTATAAAATAATATAAATTTAGAAGTTAATAATATATACTTTCTAATATATTTATATCTTATTAAAAATATAATATTCTATTTTTAATTAAGGTAAGATAAATTTCTAATATTGTAAGTATATTTTTATCAATTTATCATATATATGAACTCATAGAATATAAATAAATAAGTAAAGTGTATCTCAAAGTGAAATATATATATATATATACATATATTTAAGATTAAGAGCAAGAAAAGAATTAATAAGAGTGAGGCCTCATTTCTATATATATATATATATCTATTATCTAAATAGAAGCTACATGGTGACATTTTATACAACTTCTAATACTTGTCCAACTTATAAAATACATATCTAACTTGTAAGATAATTTTCTTATGTATAAGCCCCATAACCAATTTGTACCACAAGTGTCCAATTTGTTGGCTAAGTTTTCAATCTATTAATTACCTATAGAAATATATATAGTTGCATCTACATGTATAAAGTTTTTGAGAAGCTTATCCATAAGATATTATATTAATTACCTACCTTCACATACTTCCACCAGCTCATATTATTTGGATAATTATTGGAATAAATATGTATATCCATGATAGTTTAGGATTGAGGGTTATATATGTGTATATATTTTTTTAATATTTTTATTTATTAATGTTGACTTGACTTATTATTTTTACATTTTTAGGTTCTAAAATTCTAAAAGTATAAATAAACTTATTTTAATAGTTTTTAGTTTTAAAAATATAACTAATTTGGTTTGAACTTTGGAATGTAAGAAATTTTATAAGTTTTAGAAATACTATTATCTTCATTTCAAAATTATCAAATATAAATTTATATCTAAATCTCTTCAAAATTATATAAATTTTTAAATATTAAATATTTAATCATTTTGGTTTTTAAATTGACTTTGCAATCCATTAGATTTTTTCAAGTTTTAATTTGATTTAATTCCTTATTTTTTAGATCAAATAATGCATTGGTTGATTTAGATTGCTCTATATGTTTTTCAATTTTTTAATATAAGAGTTTGACTTGGTAATTTTTTTTGAATGATTTTATTTTATATTTTTAAATTTCAGAATTGAATTTTTTTTTTTAAAAAAATATGGATTAATGTATTTTTACAAAAAGATGTAATTAATAGAATTTTAACTTATACATATTTGATTAAATATTTTGAATTATTTTTATTCATAAATTTTAGAAATATTTGCTAATATAACATAAAAGTAATCTTCTTACTATTAAAGTGCTCAATTCATATTATATTAATAGATATTCTTAGGTTATTTTGGACTCCTTAGAAATTGCATTTGTATTTATTATTGGTTGTGTTGTATCTACTAAGTTAAATATTATTATTTTTTACTTATCATTCTTATAATATGTCTATGACCTTCTTATTGTTTACTTGATTATCCTTTTATGTTTTATTATATTTTTCATGTTTGCACTATTTATTTAATTACTGATTTCTTATTCCTTTTAATTAAGTATTTTTTCTTCACTTATCTATTTTATAATTTTTTAGCTTTTTAAATATAAAGACATTTACTATAGATTTTCATGTATTTTTGTATTATTCTAATATTAAGATTTAAATTACTTATGATTTTTCAAATCAATCCAAATAAATCTACAATGGTGTTTCTTTTGTAAGAAGCAATAGACTATTCTAAAATACAAATATTTCCCCAAACAATTTAGTCACCCAACTTTTTCAGCAAAGGACTAAGCTAAGAATCAACAATGGAAGAAGTCTGTAGTAATTTGGAATAGCAAACTATACATGATTGGTGGAAGTGATGAAGAGTCTTTGAACTCAAAGAGAGTCAATAGGCAAAACATGGTGAAAAACTTCACATAACTAGCAGAAGTAGTAAACAACTATTGAAGTTGAAGAAATTTGACATATGAAATACAATAGCAAATAATGACAACAATAACAAAAAAAAAAAGATTGACTAATTGAATAGTTGACAAGCAAGAGAGTAACAACAACAAATCAAAGGGTTGACTAAAAGTGGTATTAATAACAACAAGATGATGTCAATGAGTGAAATATGATGGTATGAATAGTGATAATGAGATGATGGCAACAATAAAAACACAATAGTATCATTAATTACATTAAGAGAATGTTAACAAGGAAAACGTAATTTAAGCTTAGTTTTTAAATAGATTAATTTTTACAAAATAGTGGATAAATACAACTATTTTCTAATATTAATATTTTATTTTTTCTTTTATTTATTTTAAAAAATAATCATATATATTATAGATTTACAAATAAATTATATTTAAAAATCAATGCAATTTATATAGACATACATAATTAACTTATATAATAAAAATGACCAAAAAGTACAACTATTTTTTTTCTCTACTGGTTATTTATTTCTTTTCTACAATTGAATGTTGACAATGTTAGTTATACTTTGAATAAAATCATATATTCTAAAAATAAATAAAGAAATCACTGTCATCCATGTTTCCATTGTTGCACAACAACTCATTTTTTTTTTTTTTTGTTATTTGGATCTATCTTCATGTAAACGATACAATTCTTATCAAACAATACCCTAGTATACCATATTATTTTGATAAATGTTAAAATTTGGAACTTGACTTGTAAAAGGCAACAGAAAACATTAAACTCCTCACTTATGATTGAATGCTAAGTGGCAATAACTTTTACATCCACTTTTTATTCCTAACACAACTTTTAGAATTGCCACTCAATTTGCATGTGGATACAGATGAAGAAGTACGTAGAAATGAGGTGATGGAGAATGAAAGTAAGAACAAGAATTAATTTCATCCAACCATAAAAGAAACAAGGTAATGGAGAACTATACACTGCATAATATCTCATGCTAGCATGCATGCCTTTGAGGTTTCCTGGAGTAAATGATAGTAAACCCATAAGCCTAATATAATTAATTACACAAGAAGATATATCTGCAATTCGCTGCATTATAAATGAGAATGAAAGGAGCGGTGATGGATGCAGGCAGTCAAAGGCGGGGTTTAGGGTTTAGGGTTTCATGGCCCTAAAACCTGCTCAAGTATAACAGAGTGACTCGGTCGGCACAGTAGCATCATCCGTGTCGAACCCAGTTTCTACGTGAAGCGTAGAGTGTGGCTATATCCGAAACACACTGTAAGCAACCTGTTGATAAGTGAAGATATAACGAACCTAGTCTGCTTGATAAGAAGCTTCTTATTAATCGTTGATGCGCACTTCGGGTAATGTTTCTGTGGCGAGCATGGGGAATGTAATTAGGAATCTAATGACAGCACTGCCACCACATTACAGTCATTTCTTTCTTTTCCTTGGTCCTTGGTAGGATACAATGCATTTCCTCTATTGACCAATCACAATACGACTGCGCTTTTTTAATCTATCATGATGTTCTGACTTTTCGAATCCTCAGATCGGTCAAGAGTGGCCAAAGGTAGAGTAGAAATCCTCGTAACCCTCATTACGAGTTTCTTCACTATTTCTTATACCACTTGCTGATTCCTAGACAGTATGCCCGCTCCATGCACGAAGTTCTGTTTCACAATGCCACTGGAAACAAACGACGTCACGGCAAATGTTGTCCAGCAATCCTACGCTACATGCAGAGAATGATCGTGGATAAGTTCATAATAAATGGATTGCGCAAAAAAAAAAAAATGGAAAATCCGAAGTAAATTGTAGATCAATATCTGAACAAAGGTCTATGCACGAGGCCACTAAGGATTATTTTAGGTCAGGCTATAACTGTTACAGCAGCTCCCTCTGCAAGACTTTAAAATGGAGAGTAATCTTGGCTTGGCATCCTCCACTGGGAGCCCGACCATTCTCTCCGACGGCCAAGCTGCCCGTGTTAACGTCTCCCAGGAGTTTTGTCAAGTTCGCAGCGACCTTCACGTAGCGTGGATGTTGGGTAGTATCACGTTACTTCCCTCAATCGCACGTTAATTTCTGACACACTCGCACAAACACACACTTTTCAGATTGAATTGCAAGGAACTATGAGTGGAACAATGTGCTGCATTCTTGAGAAGTCACCACCATGGAGCAGAATGGCACTACTTTTCGTACTGATGGGAGCGATTATTGAACAATCAAAGAGGGAAGCAAGAGTTTGGTCTAGTGATCCTGAGATTAATTGTATCATGTGCAAGCATGTATCTCGCTAAAAGCTGGGGATAAGTGAAAGATGTGGGAAAAATGAAGGGAGCTCGACTTCCAGGACACCGCACTACGGATCACTGCGGATACTGCGGACATCCTTTTAGATCTGGGCACAAATTTTCTTTTGCTAACGGGGGCATAGATATTCCGTGGACGTAATGCCAAATTGAGCTGCAGGTTTCATGAACAGACTTGTAGACATTCACCGTGCAATGGAAGAGTGCGCTAGATGTGGACCGTCGCCCATGCACTTCTCGGAGAAAAGCATCTTCATCTTTGTACGCAGGTTTAGCGCTGTTATCAAACCAGCATTCTTCATGATTCCCTCCGTTAGAGAAGCCCAAATTCAAATGGTTCATGGAGGCTGGTAAAACAGGCAGTGAACGTGCAACAGATCTGAAGATGCAGTACTCCAAGATGTAAGTGGACGACGGACCTTTGCCGTTCTTCCCTCCGCAGTGGCATCATCACTAAATCTACAAAGGTCCATCATCATCACAATCTCTCAATAGCTGGGCTTGTCACTTAGAATCCAAATCCGCAACTGCTCGATCAATGCACACTTCAGCGGGCTTGAAACCCATGATTTGGAAGCCATCCTAATTCTCGACACAACCCGATCGCCCTACAAAATCAACATTGTTGTGCGTTTTGAACTCGATCCAGGCTGTGAATGAGATACATACACTTGACGTTTCTAAACAGAATGACCAGTCCTTACTAAAGCCGATCACGTGCTGTATAGACCTCTGGACGTTCTGAGCATCAGCACGCGCAGAGAAAGCAAACATGGACAACGGTCAATGGCTTGCTTCGCAAAGAAAAAGGTGGGAGATGAAGAAAGCAGACAGAGAACGGAGCGGAGCGGAGCGGAGCGCGACCAGATCACAAGTACTGCCATGAGCGCAGCACATTCGCTACTTATTGCATGGCGATCGAGCAATGCTGCGAGATCGACATCCAGCCCACCGGTACAGTAGCGCCAGCTCCGCGTTCCCCATGTCGCGCAGTTTTGAAATCCACAATGAGGCAATAAAAGCAGCGTTGAACGCAGTTGCTCACAATCGGGACTGCACTCCAATCGTGCTCGGAGTAGGTGCACACATAGTAGCGCCAGCAGGAAATGCTATCACCCTAAAACTGGCGATGTGCAAACATGGGACGTCACGCGATAATCCTAAACTCGCAACGTACACTTGCACAGAAGGAAGCTTCGACTGCAAGTGTATGGGTGTGCACGATCACAGGCTCAACGCGAGCCCAGTGTTAAGGCTCCTGTTACGTGATATCGATAGCCTCGCAGGTCGTGGGGCACATGAGCGTGCATGGGTGACACTGAAGGCTCGCTCCACAGCGAGAGAGCATCCAGTTATTCCAAGACTGCTGCTTTGTGATGCATGTGTTGAGGAGCTGTTGCTCTCGTTTCATCGTCGCAGTGAGTAGCAGACAGACCCACTCACACACAGGACGAGCGAGTGTGTGTTTGTGCGCTTGTTGAATTCCAATTGCAAACATAAAAGCAAAAAAAATAACAAACAAACAAACAAAGCAAGCTAGCAAATAAGCGTGTAACTCATTTGATTAAAACTACAATCGGATTTTATTAGAAATTAAGTTAACCTAAAGTCTGTCGTTGATATCTAGATTGTGATGTTTATTTTTACAATCAGTGCATTAAACATTTACCATTCCGGATGCAACCTATCTCAGGGTACATTGAGAAAGAAGAGACTTAATTTTTTCATGTTATCATTGTGATTGTTATTATTTTATTCTGATGGAGAAAATTGCAAAAAGATATCGGTAATAAGATATTTAGAAACTGGCACATCATAGAGGTAATCCGACACTTGGATAAATTGCACAAAGCATTACGAAAGAGAATGGTACAAGTTGAACTGTATTACATCTATGATACGACATAACGAGCAATAAAGTTCTTACACTAAAAATTCTATGGAATATTAAAAACGTACTTACTTTTTTTTAAGAAACATCGATGTGCCACAACAACAAATCTGATTAGATAGATAAACACATACACACATTATTTTTAAAAGATGTGTAAAATTTAAAATAAAATGGTCAAAGATAAAATAATAGAATATATTAAGCATTAATAGCATTGAATCTAATCAACTGAGAAAATCCATTGCCAAGACAATTAATGCAAGAACCATTAGAATAATTATACACATATTATTTACAGTGCCAATTAAAATATAATATGATCCAAAAAAAATGAAGTATTTACTTGTAGTGACAATTTTTTGATTACATGCATTTCCTTAAATTTATTTTTTCAGTTTTCTTAAACTATGGCCATGCTATCTTCCCAATTGGATATAAACAAATTCAGTATTATAACCATACAAATATAACTTAGTCATTTTTAAGAATAAAATATAACTTATTTTTTTTAAACAAACCTTTAAAAAAGTTTGATTTTATGTATATAGGTTATTTAGAATTTTAAAATTATTTTTAAGTGTATATATATATATGTATATTTTGCATACATCATAAATCACAACTTTATAGTATTTTTTTTTTATGTTTTTATAAAAAAACTTATGTATGATTTATTCATTTGATTTTAAAGTTAAATCAGTAAGATTGTATTTAATGACAAATAAGTTGTTAATTTTTATTTTAAATACTTAAAATATGTTACTTTGAGCATTTTAGCTATGTCTTAAAATTCCTTATTTTATTTTATTTTTTTAAATGAATTCAATAATTTTTATCAATAGTATTTCTTATTAATAAAAATTTATCAAAATACTAAAAATAAAAATATATTGATTATATAAAAGAATTTTTTGATTAAATTTTATTTTATTGAGGAATAATAAAAGAAAAAAAAACTACTTAATGCAATATATAGTTTTTTACAATCTACTTGAGTACTCTAAAAACTTGGAGGATTTATTTTTGTATCTACATATTTATATTCTTTTATATGAAAATCTAAATAATTCTAAATACATATATCTAAGATTCACCTCATAATGCTTCAACATTAGAACCAAATTCCTTATATTTAAGAGTTCTTTTCATTTAAAAAAAAAAAAATTAGAATGTCAAAAATGTATTTTTTTGCATAAGTCGAATTTCTATGGGAACTTTATTTTTATTAATATTTGTTCCAATACCATATAATCATACCAAATAAATTTGGTGTTTAATCTAAAATTTGTCTTTAGTTTAAATATAAAATTTTGCACAATCTAAATCTGTAATTTTTTTTTAATTTTATATTTTTTAAAAATAGATTTAATCTTTTATTTTAAAAAATAATAATTTTAAATATACAAATGATAAAAAATATAATAACAATAATACTATTTAAAAAATTAAGAATGTTCTATAGGACCTCCAACACATGTTGACTTCATAAGACATGTATTTTAACTTGTAAGGCAAGTTTTTTTTTATACGTGTGCCATATAATTAGCTTGTTCCATAAGCTACCAATATGTGTGATACATGGTTAATTTATTGACCAAATTTCTAATGTATCAATCAATTATAAACACGTGTAAAATAAAAATTGCAATTATTAAGCTTCTAAAAAACTTCTTTAGAAGATATTATAAAATTAATTTATATTTACTTACTTCTACTTAATCATATAGGTAATTATTGTAAAAAATATGTATGTTCATGATATTACCTCCTTTCTAGAGATAAGTTCCATAAAGAATAGTCATCATTTTTTATAGATCTTATTTTTTTTAATCTTGATTTTGAAGGATGTTATTGATGAAAAGCATCAACTCTCTTTGTTGCATTTGTGAGATTCTTTGTTTGCTCCCATGAGCATTCATTAATATCATATTCATGCCAATAAAGAAGATATTTCAATCCATTTTGATGCCACCTTGAATCTAAGACTTCTTCTACTTCAAACTCTTGATTATTATCTACTTCTATAGAAGGATGTGACATTTATCTTTTTTTTTGAAATATTCATTGTCTTATATGGTTCAAAAAAAAACATGTGGAATACATGATGGATGTTCATAGACTCTAATAGATGTAATTAATAAGCAATAGGATTTACTTATTTATAAATAAGAAAAGCTCCAAGCCTAAGATAGTCTAACTTATCACAAGGATGAGTAGTCTTGATGTGCAATGAAATAATCATACCTTATCATCTATATTAAATAATGGTTGTTCCTTGCAATAGGCATCTACATTGATTTTTTGTCATTCTTAAGCTTTTTTTAATTGTACCTTCATTGTTGCATGTAGCTTTGAGAAACAATTAATTAAATCTTTTGCTATAAGATTATCAACTTTTGAAAAGTCAAAAGTATCAAATTATAGATGGTAACCATAATTGATAAAAAAGGTATTTATTGAATAGAAGAATGTATTAAATTATCAAACGTAAACTCTACAAATGACAAAAGAGTTGTCCAATCATGTTGATTATAGTTGATAGTATACTTTAAATACTACTCTAGAACTTAATTCACCATTTTTATTTGCTCATCAATTTGACGATGAAAAGTCAAAGAGAGCTTTATATCTATCTTTCAAATCTTAAAAATGGTTCTCCAAAATCTTGATACAAATTGAGTCCTTTTATTTGATATAATATCCTTATATAATCCATGATAGCAATAGATGTTGTCAAGAAAAAACTTAGCTATTTCTTTACTTGTGATAGATTTTGTATATACTACAAAATATGCCATCTTGATAAAACAATCTACTATCACAAATATAGAATCATATGAATATGAAACTAAAAGATCTATGATAAAATCCATAGAAATAAAAGATTATGATTGTTTCAAAATATATAATGGCTGAAAAAGTCCATAAGATCGATGATGAAGAATTTAAGATATTAAAAAAATATCTCATGATTGTACAAAGTCTTTGATTGCCTTCTACATTTAAAGTCATAAAAAATCTTTAGATATTAACTTTGAAGTCTTATTATATCCAAAATGTTTGACTATTGAAAAGTTATGATAAACTTGAAGAACATATAATTATGTTTTGCTTTTTAGAATGTATAGTCATCCCTCAAAATAAAGTAGATTATTCTTGAATTTGAACTTAAAAATATCATGAAATTTAGAAGAATTATTCTTAATATCATAAACAAGAGGATTAGAAGATATATTCAATTGAACTTACTTAAATAAGATTGAATCAACGATCAATGTTGATTTTATTGTTCAATGGTGAAAACACTCCAACTTAAGATAATTATTTTTTATTGATTAAAAAATTTATCTTCTTCTTTTGGTACAAGATAAAAATATCTAAAAATTATTTCTAACAAACCTTATTATTTTTTGAATCAATAAGTGAATTTGAAATCAAATCTTGATAAAGACTTGCTTCAACAAGCTTGACAATAATTCAAAATATTTTTTGATATAAATTATTTGAGATTCTTGTTATTTATATATACAATGATTGGATTTGAGGTGCCTTTTAGATAATAACTCCATTCTTAAAATGAATCCAGAATTATAAGATTTTTTTTTGTTATAAATTTTATAGTTAATTTTAGTTCTTGAAAATTTCTTAAAATAAAAATCTATTAGGTATAGCTTATCATCTACTTTTATTTATAATAAAATAATATTTATAACAAAATTTGATGTATCTAGTTGCATAAAAAATATCTAAAAAAAATCATTGTGATACAAAATTGGCGCAAAAATAAATGCTCTCTTCAAGACTTGAAAGATGCTTGAGCTTCTTTATTCCACTTAAGTTTGTCTTTACATATTAAATATATAAGAAGAATTGCAACTTGAAAAAATTTCTTGATGAAGATCTTGTAATAATTGGCAAATCTCAAAAAATATTTCATATCTTTGATTATTTTTGGAATCTTTCAATCCATGATAGTTTTGACCTTCTTTGGATCTATCATTAGTCTTTTGCTAAAAATGATGTATCCTAAGAAATCCACTTAAGTAGTATAGAATATATACTCTTTTATCTTAGTATATAGTCTTGTATCTTTAAGTTTTTGTAATACATGACAAACATGAAGTTTATATTCTTTTATATTTTTAGAGTAAATTAGAATGTTATTTAAATAATAGATAATAAAATCATTAAGAAATTCACAAAAATATCATTTATGAGATATTAAAAAATAGGTGGTGTATTTATGAGTCCAAAAGGTATGACATTATATTTGAAATATCTATATGTATTATGGAAAGCAATCTTCTATTCATCTTTTTTT